CCCACAAGGTCTCCCTGAGTCAGAATTGACCCGTATCACTGGGCCTGGTATCTTCTCATAAGAACCGTTGGAGGGTACTTTCATCCTTAGGTTTTTTTTCAGCGCTGGTTCAGGAGTTCTGGATGCATGATCTCTGGACTTCAATACACATGTGCAGGTGTGGGGTTAGCTGGTTGCAGATACTGGCATAAGTGGTGGGATTCGATTTTCCTGTGGTGAAAGTGGGGGGCTCTCTATGTCTTTCCCTCTTGGGCACCCCCACACAGACTCTCCCACAGTGTCCTCTGTGGGCTGGGAGCAGTCCAAAGTAGTCCCCTCACTGTGCTGTCCTTGAAGTTTTTCCTGGTCCTAGTGCCTGTCTGTCTTGGGCCTCAGCGAGATTCAACAGCAGTCTCACAGAGCCATGGTCTCCCTTCACCCCCTCCCAATTTTGCACCCTGCGAACTCCCATGGCCAATCCATGCCACCTTAAAAAATCTGGCTACAACTTCCCGAGATTAGCTCTCTTTCCATTTTCCCTGTTTGGGGTGTTGCCCAGCCCCGTCCTAAAATGGCTGTGATGAACACGTGCTCCAGATGTTAGCAGTTAGGTTCTCCCAGCTTCTGTGCCATCTCCACCCATCTTCTCCGCCACTTCTGAACTCACCCTGCCTCTCCAGTACCTCAGCTGCTGTCCGGAGTTCTGAGATCTCAGTCAGTGCTTGTTTTATTTGGTGTTCAGTGGCTTGGTTTCTGGGGGAGGAAATGGGAGGGTCTGCTCACTTCGCCACCTTACTCCGCTCTCCAAAGTGTTTTTATTTTTTACATATCAATCAACAGTCTCACAAACAGTGAAAGGAAGTTCCCACTTTCCCTTATCATCAACACCACCTGTTACTGACTGCTCTGATGAGTGTGAAATGGAACCTCACTTTGTATCTATTTGCAATAAGGTTGAGCATCTTTTCGTGGGTTTACTGACCTGTCATCTTTCTTCTTGTGTGAATCGCTTATTCCTATCTATTGTCCTTTTTTAATGGGTCATTTGTCTGTCTGTTTCTTAGATTTATAGGCATTCTTTGTATATTCTGGATGCTAATCCTTTATCAGTTATGTGAGTTGCAAATACTTGCACTCACTCCGAGGTTTGTTTTTTACTTTCTTTATGGTATCTTTTTTGTAGTTGTTGTTATAAGTTTTTAATTTTAAAGTAGTCAAACTTATCCATCTTTTCCTTTGTGTTTCTTTTTCTTCTTTTCTAAAAAAGTCTTTTTAAAAAGACCCTTCCCTACCCCAAGGTCATAAAGATTTTCTCTAATATTTGTCTCCAAATGATTTAAAATTTTTTAAGTCTAAGTCCTCAGTTCCACTGAAAATTCCTGTTTGTACATGGAGTGAGATATAGCTCTACCTTCATTTTGTTCTATGGTAAATACCCAGTGTCTCAGTATCGTGAACTAGCTTGTCCATCCTCTCATCACTGCTGCAATGTATACCCTAGTCACATCGCAAGTCACTATATATACAGGTCTGTTTCTTTGATCTCTGTCCTCAAAGCAATGGTCCCAGATTTATCAGAACCAATTCTTTACTGATCTCACTTCTACTTTTATGGCAACCCGGCCTAGATGGTTTTACAGTTAAATTCTAGCAATCTTTCAGAGAATACATAATCCCTATCTTATACAAATTACATAAGATAATTGAAAAAGAGGAAGAGTTACCCAATTCATTTTATGATTCTGATGTAACTTTTATACCAAAACTGGAGAAGACCCGTATTAGAAAGAAAAATTGTGGGCTCACCTCACTTTTGAGTGTAAATGTAAAAATCCTAAATTAAATATTAGTAACACTGAATAAAGCAATGTGTAGTAAAACAAGTTCATGCAAAATGTGCAAGAATGGGTTAATTTAAGAAAAGTTATTAATATAATTCACCACATTAACAGAATAAAGGAGGAAAATAAGATTTTTTTTTCCATAGGTGTAGAAAAAGCACTTGATAAAATACAGTAACCATAAATGATTTAAAAATATAAAACTCTTAGAAAACTAGGCACTGAAACAAGCATCCTTAACTTGATAAACAGCATCTAACAAAACTTATTGCAAACACACACTTAGTATTGAAGTATCCCTTGTAGTGCTCAAGTATTGAGTTTTCTCTTTGCATTTGGCTCCTGGGAATTTATATATATATATATATGTATTGTTTTGCTTGGCTATTACTTTAAATAATTGTGTATGTGTTTATGTGTGTGTGTGTATATATTTATGTACATGTATGTATATGTATACATATATATGCTCACACATTACATATTTTTTAAATTAATATTTTATCTAGATGCATTTTATTGAGTGTTTTTCTACGTTTGTGGATGGAAAGCCATGCAGGCTCACAGCCTGGGTTGCAAGGGTTCCCCCTTGGTGATGTTCTGGGCCCCGGGACTGGCCAACTACAGAGACCACCCTGGAGGGGACAAAGTAGTTGGACTACCGTAGAGCTGGCTTCTCTCCTAGACTGAGGTCTTCTCATTATTCACAACTTCATATCCTGGCTTTATCCAGGAGAACCATTAAGAATGAATCTGATGAGGATAAACATATTTTATATGTTTATATATATGTTTATATATATGTTTATATATATTTTATATGTTTATATATAAACATATATTTTATATGTTATTTTTATAGTTTCTTCCCCCAAAATCATGATTTTAGTGTTTATCTAAAACTTTCTATGATTCTGTTTTACCACTGGGTAAAATAAAGATAATCTACTGCCATAGAATATCCTAAGGATTTGATATTTTCACGATTCCTACAGGGATATTGAAAATATGAAGAGTACTATAAGTCATAACTTTTCCATCACTGTCATGCTTATATTTGACAACTTTAAGACATTTGTTAATGTGCTTCTAATGGTTAGGGGTGGGGAGAGGGACACGTTTCTAGGGAGCACTTTTCAAGATAGCAAACAAATTTTTCTAAGTCTTTCTGTCCACAACTGTTAACAAACAAGGGATTCCAGTGACTCTGAAAACCAAAAAAGGGCCTAGCAATGTTGAACACAAAGAGCAGTCAATGAATTCTTGACTATAAGGTCATGTATAGTAAATAAGGCAGTTCCGATGCCAGATCAATACTGTATTGTGTATTTCCTGCAGCAGGTATTGAGATATAGATCTGCTGTAGTGGGAACAGGAGTGTCATCAGGAAATACGAGTTCAGACAAATCTGGGTTCCCACCTCCATGGAAACAGCTGGATTGATCGTGTTCTGTCTAACTTCATGGTGAAAATGTCAGGTCAGAAGCGAATATTCATGTTGTGGTGCTTGGAAAGATGGAAGGAAAAATCAGTAAGCTAAACACTCTACCTAATAATGGCAATGTTGTCTCCAAGGCAAGTTCTCTTTTCTTGAATGAGTTTTTTTTTTTTTTTTGCCCCTAATATGTTGGTAATGATGTCTTACAGATACAACAAAAGACTCCCTACAAAACCTAAGGGCAGTTCTGGAATAAGGGTTATGTTAACATGATTCTAGGTGAGCATTGCACTGGAAGTCCACTTAAAATTTAAATAAAATTTTCCTTAATTTCAAGGAAAATTCTGGACCTTGTGAAGCTATCATGGCTGGAACCAACCGAACCAAACCCATTGCCGTCAAGTTGATTCCGACTCATAGCAACCCTATAGGATCCATAGTAGAACTGTCTCATAGGGTTTCCAAGGAGCAGCCAGTGGATTTGAACTGCCAACCTTGTGGTTAACAGCCAAGCTCTTAACCACTGTCCCACCAGAGTCCCATCATGGCAAGAAAGTACCAGGCAAAAAAGAAATTCCATATTGTTAGTCCTAGTTTGCAGTTCACTTGTCCTGTTATCTTGCAAAAACTATTCAATATCTCTATACATTTGCATGTATGATAATGTTCTATTTTCTTTGGACGGATATTACACAGGCTATAACAGATGACATCAGCATTTTGATAGGTGGGGTCAGAATACCAGGTTCTTCCCCCAAAATCATGATTTTAGTGTTTATCTAAATATAATAGACTCTTATCCTGACCACGCTCAGGAAATCTCCTCCATTCAGGTGCCTAATGTTTCTGCAGAGCCCCTCCTGTCTTTCCAAAATCAACTTGCTTACATTGGCTAAGCTTCAAGAGCATAGTAGGTTCATGACTCATCAGCCTGGGTTTTGAATGGAAACCAAATGAATTATTGTTATTGTTTGTTTCTACATCTTCCAGGCACCTTTTAAAAATGAACAAGAGCAGCTCTGATTTGGAAAAAGTGAGCCAGGGCTCAGCAGAGAGCCTCAGCCCATCCTTCAGGGGCGTCCACGTCAGCTTTACCACCGGATCCACAGACAGCCTGGCCTCGGACTCCAGGACCTGCAGTGATGGAGGTAACAGGCTTGATGGGGAGGCTTAGATTTTCCCAGGTCTGCTGGGCCAGTCCAGGGTTAGTTGTCAGGATTTGGAAGGGCTGAGATAGGCCTTCTGTCCTGGTGCTGCTTTTAGACTCCATCAAGACTCCATCCAGGTTATTTCTCTAGTGAGTATCTGTCAAGTAGTTTGTGGCCTGAATGGGTAGTATTTCACACCTCTCAGCCTTTCAACATTCTCTGTGGCTGTGTGTCCCCTCCCGTCTTTCTCTTTGACGTGCTTTAGTGTGGTAGGTTTCTGCAAGTGCTAGCTTGACTTCCTTTCCACTCCTGTGGAAGTATTTCTTCTCAGTAGGCAGTATTGGAATTGGAGTAGAGAGTTCCATTGTAAATTTACTGTCGCCAACGTTTTTCTACCCCAAAGGTGGACAACTGGCTAAGACAGACACGTGAGTTATCAGTCAGGCCATGGTGTGCTCAGATGGGAAACCTCTGAACGCTCTGACTTAAAAACAGGAAATATCTTAGTCTTGATTTTGAAAGGGAGGCAGTAAAAGAGGAGCAAAGGCAAGGATTTTGTTTTCCTACAGAATTTCCTGGGCTCCTATCTTCTTCCTTTTCCCATCCCATTGTGCAAAAATTCCAGGAGGCAGATTATTCCTTAGAAGGCTGGGCACGTGAACCATTAGCCCTTGTGCTGGTCAGCCCTGATCTGCCCTCCTAGGGACTGTGACCAATTCTGAGGGAGCGGTGTCCAGTGGAACCCTCTGCTGGCTTACCAGCCAGAGGTTATTGATGAGAACTGGACTTACTGTCTCAGCACATTGCATCTCAGAATGAGTAAATCATGATGTCTGCCTTCAGGTCTCTTGCAGTATAGCTGGGAAAGTAAGACTAAAGCACATGACACATGGGTGGATGGGGTAAGAGAGGATATTAGGCTGCTCAGAATGTGGGTACTTGGTGGAGTTTCCAGAAGAGAGAAATCACTGAGGGCTGGTGGAGGGTGCAGGCAGGGCTTTATTTAACAAGAAGGTGGGACTCCAGCTCATGTCTGAAGTATGGTTAGAATTGGAGAGGTAGCGGGAGGAGGACAGGGCCTTCCAGGTAAAGGAAACAGCACAAAGGAGCAAAGGTGTGTGGAGAGCAATGCATGTTGGTATTGGATAAGGCCAACCTGACCCACATCAGTGAAGCAGATGAGGGGAAAATGGGACTGGAGTTCGGGTGGAAAGCAGAGGGCTGGAGTGTAAAAGCCTCTCAAAGCTGGGCGGTGGGTCCTCAATTTGTTGAGGTGGGAACCCCCAGAGGATGTTGGCTACACGGGTGACACATGACTCAGACATTTTCTCATGTTCATTTCTTGCTAGAAAATAGAAATTAAAATGAATTTGTGGTTTATTCTTGGTTATCACGAGTCAGTAATTCCTTTAACATGAGCCAATGGAAATGCATTTCAGTGTTTGGAGTCCCAGAGTGATCAGAAGGCATGCACCCTGGCACGGGACTCAGCCCTCAGGGTGAGCCATTCTATCTGCTGCCCATGCACGTGGTTCTGTACTCACAGCCATGCTTGGAAAGCGGCAGGAAATCAACGGCATTCTTGTTTTTCTTCTTAACATTTCTTAAACATTAATCTAGAGGGCAGCGGTGGTTCGGTGGTAGAGTTCTTGCACCCACGCGGGAGAACTGGGTTTAATTCCCAGCCAACACACTGTCTGTCAGTGGAGGCTTATGTGTTGCTATGATGATTGTCATGGTTTGAATTATGTCCCCCAAAAAATGTGTGTATCAATTTGGCTGGGCCATGGTTCCTGGTATTGTGTTTTTCCTATTGTTGTAAGTCCTGCCTCTATGACATTAATGAGGGAGGATGGGTGGCAGTTATGTTAGTAAGGCAGGACTCAGTCTACAAGATTGGATTGTATCCTGAGGCAATGTCTCGAGATATAAAAGACAGAAGTGAGCAGAGAGATAGGGGGACCTCATACCATCAATAAAGCAGTGCGGGGAGCAGAGCGCGTCCTTTGGACTGGGGTCCCTGCGCAGAGAAGCTCCTAGTCAGTGGGAACACTGATGAGAAGGCCAACAGAGAGAGAAAGCCTTCCCCTGGAGCTGACGCCCTGAATTTGGACTTTTAGCCTACTTTGACTGTGAGGAAATAAATTTCTCTTCGTTAACCATCCACTTGTGGTA